CCCCGCGGGGAGCTGCCGGGCGCCTCTCCGGGCCGGGCGGCCTGGCGGAGCTGGGGGGCGGCAGGCCGCGGCCCGGCCCCGGGGCACCGAGGAGGGTCCGTCAGCAGCGTCGAGGCCCTGGGAGAAAGACTTGGGCTGGGGCATCTCCGAGGTGCAGACCCCCTGCCGAGCGAGCAGCGCGGTAGGCACCTCTCTGATCAGCTGAAGGAGACCATCAGTAGTGAATTTTAGAAATACAGAGAATTGGGGGGTTCAGCCTGGAGAAGAGAAGGCTCCAGAGAGATCTTAGAGCCTCTTCCAGTCCCTAAAAGGGGCTTAGAAGAAAAATGGGGACAAACTTTTACCAGGGTCTGTTGTGATAGGACAGGGGGTAATTGTTTTAAACTAAAAGAGGGAAGATTTAGATTAGAAATAAGGAAGCAATTCTTTACAATAAGAGTGGTGAGACCCTGGCCCAGGTTGCCCAGAGAGGTGGTGGCTGCCCCATCCCTGGCAACATTCAAGGTCAGGTTGGATGGGACTCTGAGCAACCTGGTCTAGTTGAAGATGTCCCTGCCCCTGGCAGGGGGGTTGGACTAGGTGGCCTTTAAAGGTCTCTTCCAACCCAAACTATTCTACCATAAATTCCTGGTACAGCAAAGGCCTTGCTGCATTTCAGCCGTGCTCGGGGTGCGTGCTCACCTTGCCGTAGTCGTGGTGCAGTTACAGCTCTTCTGAATTTGCAGGTTCGTAGCAGCTACCAGCCACAGCCAGGGCAGGAGGCCTTGATCCCTTCAGAGAAACAGGCAGGGCTTTCCCTAGGGAAGCCAGACCCTGCAAAAAGTGGATTGACAAGCATTTACTCATGAGCTTCATGATAAGAGCAGATCTCCCCCTGAGAAAGCTCAGCACTCTAGAAGTGTTTACCAGTATTGAGACTTCTGGGAAGCACTTTTCTGGTTGCCGCTACTCTGGCGGTCTCCATGTCAAAAACAGCCCCGAGTATTATCTCTTAAACAACAGCCGAGGCCTTTTGATTTATGCACCTTCTGTAAAACTTCTGTAAACAAAAGTTACTTTCTGTAAAACGGATGACACTAGCCTGATGAAGAAAAAAGGTGTGAATAGCAAGGCCCTGATCTTGTGAATGTTCACGTTTCCATATAACTTCACTGTTTTAAAAGCAGACACCAAACTCCCCCGTGCTTCTGCGATGCTCAGCGAGCCAGGCACGGAGCATGAGTCCTACAGGTGCCTGACTCAAAATCCCAAAGTAGTTTTAGAGCCACTTTAGCTCCCATTTTAAGTCACTGACCAAAAGAGAGGCTGCTCCTTAATCTGATCCAAAGTCCTTACAGTAACTTAAATACGATTTTATTACAGAGTTTATGCTATTTAGTGGATATTAAATTCCACAAAAGCCTTTTAAATGCTAGCTCAGTCCATTCACAGCGTGTCCCAAATTGATTATTTAAGTAATGTCTCTAATGTGATTAAAGGTGAAAATCATCCTATCATAATAGTGAAAATACTGCCGCAATGACAGTCCATTGCCATGCGAAATACCACGTCCCAAAACATCCTGATGCTTCACCACAGGGCCTGGGGACCAAGGTTCTTTCAATACGTCTGATCCTTAAGACCAACAGGGAAATTCTTGCAGAGTCTGAAAGCTTTTGGATAAGGCCCAACATGCCAGAAGGTTGCCTATAAAGTTATTTTTTTCTCATCAGGTAGAAAACAAAAAGCAAAGGTCCGTCTCCCAGCACACGCTTTATTCCTCAAAGATTTCAGAAAATACAGGGCTTTGGACTGAGTTCAAGATCTATTCTGGGATCTTAACAAGGACCCTCACAAGAAACCAGGTGGAGTTTGTAGAGGCCTTCTACTGCAAATGCATTCAGGAAACTGCCTGAGCCTCTGTCAAAACTACTTAAGGGAATTGAATTTTTAAATTACCCTGAAGCAGAGCATGTAACGTTGTTAGCCCTGTGCAAACAGAGATTATTTTCTTATTAGAGTATTAATTCTCAGAAGTGGAGAGGAAGATAAAAAAAACATAAACCTACCTGCAAGCACAGTTCAGTCCTGCAGTGCTTACGCACAAAAACAGTTCTTGTCTGAATGAGTAATCCCACCAATTTTAGCTGGGATTTACACATCATACCCTGAATTAGATATGTCTGAATCAACTCAAGTGTGTATCCATAGAGCTAGAGAGAGATTTGATTGTTTTTCTTGTAGCTTTTAATGAGATTCTGTGACTTTTCAACCTGAGGTACAGTCCCTGATGTTCTAGACGACATCGTAGCTCCACTGAAGTCAACAGCAATTTTCAAGTTTACCTCAGTGTTATTTGAACTTCCCCTTTTGTACTTTAAAAATTACTTTTCTGTACAAGACAAAAGGACTTCAGAGGTCAGTTCTCTGAACTGGGGGTTATTTTATTCTCCTGTAACTATTTACTCAGTTATGGAACTAGTTTATGAGATAAGAGGTTCAAACTCTACTTCATTCAAGCATTACAGCAAATATCTTTCCTACAAAGATAAGACTATTTTAATATCTGTTTAAAACAGAAACGACACCTGAATTGGGAGAAGAATCAGCACCTTCACTTTTTTCCTTTGAGTTAGGAGTGCAATTTACCTGTTTATAACGTAACCTAGATGAAGACCAGCTGGTCTGAACGCATTTTTACATCTGTCTTTAGCGACGATTTTGCAACTTTTACCATCTTAGTACTGCAAACTTTAAATCTCATTTAATTTGCACCTTTAAAATGTTCAAACTCAAAATGAATACTTTCCTAAAGGCTTTTCCACATTTACTTTCTGGTTTGTGAGCCTTTCTGGCTCAGATGACATTGCTATGAAGGTTAGCAATTTACCACTTCTTAATTAAAATAGAAATGTACATTATAGGTAAAAAGAGGTGTGTAAAGTGCATACATTGTTTATATTTTTAGCATACTTACAACTATGAATGAATTTCATGCTTTTTTGTAACTGCTGGGGTGCTACATTGTAGTTACACTCATGTTAAGAGTTTATAGAAATCCCTAAAAGCCTCTTGGGCACAAAACCCAGAAGTTCTTGTGAACTTTTAAACCTGGTGGTATGAAAAAGCAGTAACTGACACTGTTAGAAACAACCACAGGAGGGACAGATGAGAAATTGACTGGGTAGTGGATGCTGTTGATTTCATGAACCCTAGCTAATAGAGCAAGAGGAGATTGTCTGTTACACTTCTCAGTATAAATCTTATTTGACACCTTTCAAGAAACTCAAGAAAATGATTGTGTTTGTTCCTCAAAGGCTTGTAGAATGAAGAGGCTTAAAATTGCCAACCGTTTTTGCCTTTTAAAACTTTGCCTGCAAAATGCTTTGGACTTGATTGAAAACATAAAATGCAGACACATTTCAGTGGAAACCATGTAAACTGTCTCTATAAAAGCAGGCATAGTTTGATAAAACTTTACCTCAATGTTTATATATTACAACTCCTACTTACATAGTTGTTTTTTTTCCTTACAAGAATGTAATTCATAAAGATATAACAATATAACTTTAATTACATGATCATATTCCATCTTTCCCCGTTCCTCCTTTCCTGAAAATTAGTTGAACTGCAGAAGATAACTATACATTTTGTTGCCCACCTGTCTAGAAAATATTTAAGTTACACTAATATTAACTGATTTCATTTTTCACTACGCCTTTTTGAGACAATGGTATTGTATTTTGCCTATTTGCAGATAGGAACCTGACACACAGAAAAAAAAAAAAAAAGGACAAAAGCAGCCATTTATTGTCCATTGTGAGGTACCTAAGAAAATTTGAGTGCTCAACAATTTGTAGCACTTGATGTTTTCCAAATGCGGCTTCCATTGATTTTTAGCTGCAGTTGTGATTATTCAACATTTCAACAGGGAGTAAGGTTCAAGAAAAACAAGAATGAAACCCATGACCAAGTATGAAAAGTTATTTTACATAACATGCAGAACCTCCATTAAACACTTTGTGGCACAAGTAGGAGTAGACTCTGGTGAACATAGGGAAATTCAGTTGTCTTAATCAAGAGATTTTCTTTCTTTTCTTGTCATATTCTGACACATTCACTACATATATTTAAAAATATGTGTGTACACACATACACACATACATACATACATATGTGCCTCTGTGTGTGTGTATGCGTGTGCCAAGTGAAATAGAACCATATACACAGCAGTTGTCTTGGCTGCACAGCCTGGATTCAACACAAATTCGGTATGCTCAGAAAAAACATGTGTGGTCATGTCATTAAAGCTTTTGCATGGTGAACAATGGGGCCAAAGTAAGTTGAATTTTTGGTTTGGATCAGTAATCTAGAAGTCTTTCCTTCCACATAGTTCTTTCCCTACTTTGTTAAAAAGTAACATTACTATTATTAAAGAAATGCCAAGGTCTGATATTGCAACTGACCCCTTCTAAAGAGCTGGAACCTTTCCCACCCTTACACAGGACACTACCACTTCCTAGTGGCAGAGGACTAGTAGGCTGTCACCACTTACTTCACCAGTGCTAGAAGTAATGAAACTCTGACTGAAGGCTTCATCCGCGTTTCTGCAATAATCATAGTGAGATTCAAGGGTCCTGAGATGAGGTTCATTTGGGCAAAAGCCCTGATCCAACCCCAAAGATTTGGTTGGATAAGTCGCTTGGTGCTGCAGCTCTGCCACTATAATGTGGGGGTCATTACCTCGACCGGGGGTCCTATTGCCTTAATGTGGAGCACCATCACCTCAAGGTGGGTCACTGTCACTTCAGCCTGGGGCACTATCTTCTCAACCTGAGGCACCATCACTTCAGCATGTGGGCCCAACACCTCAACCCGAAGCACCATCACCTCAGCATATGAACCCACCACCTCAACTTGGAGCCCCACCACTTCAACCTGGACCCCCATCACCTCAACTTGGGCCTCTATCAATCACCTCAACATATAGCCCCATCGCCTCAACTTGAGACGCCATCACCTCTGCGTATGACCCCACCACCTCAACCTGGAGCCCTATACCTCAATCTAGGGACCATCACCTCAACTTGGGGCACTATTACATCAGGATGGGGCCTCAGCACCTCAACCTGGGGCACCATCACCTCACCCTGGAGCCTCATCACCTCAATCTAGAGACCGTCACCTCAGTTTGGGGCACTATCACCTCAGCATGGAGGCTTATCACCTCAATCTAGGGACTATCACCTCAATTTGGGGCACTATCACCTCAGCCTGGAGCCCTATCACCTCAATCTAGGGACCGTAACTTCAACTTGGGGCACTATCACCTCAGCATGGAGGCTTATCACCTCAATCTAGGGACTATCACCTCAATTTGGGGCACTATCACCTCAGCATGGGGCGCCATCACCTCCACCTGGAGCACCACCACGTCCACCTGAGGCACCATCACCTCCACCTGGAGCCCCATCACTTCAGTCTGGAGGCCACATAACCTCACCTTTGGGGCACTATCGCTTCAGCATGAGGCGCCATCGCCTCTGCGGGAGTCCCAGCTTTCTCCCCGCTTCCTGCGGAACCGAGAGAGGCGGGAGGGAAGGTGAGAATTGGAGCCTGAGAGGGGCGGGAAGGCAGCCGGGGACGGGGACCTCCCCGCTGGAGGGACCTCCCGCCCCCCTCAGGCTCCGCCTTTCCCCGCCCGACGACGCGAGGGGGCTGGCCCGGGCTGCTTAGGAGCCGGGCATCCAGACGGCGGCCGCATCGCTGTGCGGTTCCTCCTTCCCCTCCTCTCTCTCTCCCCTTCCGTGCCCGTGAGTATCCACCCCGGCTGCCTGCGCGGTTACCACAACAAAGCGGGCGGCTGCGGGTTTCCCGGGGGGCTGCCTCCCCGGCTCGGCGGCGGGGCCTCCGCTACCTCCTCCCCACAGAAAGCGGGTGCGTGGCGGTTGGGGGCGGCGGGAGGGGGGTGGCCGGCATTTTCCTCCTCCTCCTCCTCCTCTGCCTGTGGTAATTTTTGCCAGATCAGACAAGGTGGGAGACGTATTTTGGTTTTTAATCACTAAATACTTTATATTTTTGTTGTTTGGTTTTGTTTTTTTTTTTAAATTTGCTGTCTTTCTGTTCGGCTCCCTGAGCGACACGTATGTAGGTGTCTCCCCGGCGAGTGCCACATGCATCGCCTGGCGTTGAGCCGCCGGAGTTTAGTCACGCTGCCCAAAACACGTCGTTTTATGCTCCACTTCAGCGCCCTGCCTGCCTTCCCCTTCCTCACAGGGGCTGGAAAAGATTTTGGAGGGGTGGTTTCTGAGGCATCGTGCCCTGTTCCCCGGCCCCCCAACCTTGGCACCATATTCCTTGGCGTTGGGGGCCAGTTACGGCGTCCTGCGGACCATCCTTCCAGTTACCTGAGTAGGAGGGACACGTTGGAAGCGATGCTGGAACATAGAGTGTAGTGAAGTGTTTTGGTTGGGTGTAATTAGCAGGGATTAAGTCCACTGAAATGATTGTTGTAGGCAGTTTTCCTCAAGCGTGTTCAGTCGTCGCCAACAGTCGCATCCTCCGTGGTTTCCTCGGGACGACGGTGCCGTAACTCCCCCTGCCCTAAAGGTTCCCAAAGTGGGGCTGCCGTTAGGAGAAATAACCAACCACTGCGTCTCCTGAGCCCCGTGGATTTGGGTGGAAACGGCAAAAGAGGTAACTGTGAATCCTGGGCCCTTCTCGGCTGTCGTTTGTGCAGCCCTTGCAGCAGAGCAGAGCGCTGAATTCATTCCAGAGTGTCTCAGTGAGTCGATACAACAAACAGCAATGTGTGTCGTGCTCATGAAGCTCTGTTTTTTCTAGAGGTAGGTAAATTAGAATCTTAAAATACAGTTTAGCATGGCTTCAGGTGCAGCCTAGTTTAAGGTCACGTTAATTTCTATGCCTGGCTAAAGTTTTTCCCTTACAGTTCTGTTAATCACAGTTTTTCCAGAAACTGTTTTTATCATAGTATGCAAATGTTTACACTTGTTCATTCTTACTGTGAAACACATATAAAAAGCATCTAGTTTGCATTTGGATTTTTAGATATTTAAAAATTGTGTGGTTAAAATTTCTATGCAACGTTCAGAGGAACAGCAGGAAGACTGTGGGATGGAATTAATATAACAGAAATAGCAGTGCTAAATTTCTTTTGCATCCCTACTTTTGTCTGTTATGAGGTGCTCAATATAGAGCATTGAGTACATTGTGCAGATTTTTGCTTCTATGAAAAAATAGTTAATCTCTCTCTTTCTGGGATAGAAGGTGGTTGCTGGAATTGTCAATCTGGAGAGAACAAAGTTCCACAAAAAGTTACTTCATCAGAGGAGCTATTTGAAGACTAAAATTAAGTCATAATTACTAGAAAGTTAGTCACTTGATACTAGCTCAAGAATGAGGTTGTAAAATAATTGTCATTTTAAAATATTGTTTCAAAAAATTTGGTCTTGGCTTTTGTAATGCTTCAAGCTCTCCCACCGCTTTTTCCTGTTTGTTTGGGGTGTGTTGTTTTGTTTGTTCTTTTTTTGTTTGGTTGGTTTCTGGTTTTGTGTGTGTTTTTTTGTTTTTTTTTTTCTTGTAGTGCAGACACTTACCTTTGTGTTTCTCAGCCTTGATAATCCTTGTAATGGTATAGAATGGAGACCAGAGAAAAAGAGAACAAGTGGTATGGGGACATTCTCTTCCTTTTCTTGGGACTTTTAAGCTTTTATGACCTATTGGGATTTCTGTTTTGGTTTTGTGCTTGCCTGTGTTTAAAAGGGCATTCAGAGAGTCCTGTGTTTCTGCATAAGCCTTACATGAGCTCAGAAGGGCCATTGGGACTGAAGAGCCTGTTGAGGCTTTGAAAGTGCAATTGGCCAATTTCTTGAGAGACTTGACCCAGCAGCACATACATTCTCTAAGGAGTATTTCAGAATTTGCGGAATAGGTGGCATATAGTCTTCTGTGGCAGAGGTGACAGGAGCTACTACGAGCTTTTTAAAGTCTGCTCAGTCAGGAGTCGGGTGATATAATATACCTGGAGCTGAGAGATACGAGCCTCAAAGTGAGCCTCAAGGTGTCTCCTTAAATTCATGGGAGATAGACAGACCACTATTATGATGGATGTACCTTAGTCCTTCCACCAGAACTGCTTTTTAAAGTTTTTTTTTTTCATTCTTTGTTTCCTGGCTTTATGCTGAACCAATACAGGTGATGGAATGGTCTGAAACATACCATATGTTCCTTGGCTGAGGTTTTCCCCATCCAACAATCTCAACTGATGTTTAAGTCACAATTCAATGATGGGTATTTTTCATTCTTGAAGTGTTTCATTTTAATAGCATAATAAACACTTTAACTCCAGGAAACCTGTATTATATTGAATTTAAAAGACAGCCTTATCTTTCAGCATTTTGTCTGATTTTTCCATACTGATATTTTTCATCTGAAGACAAGAACAAGTCATAAAAATATAATGCAAGAGAGGATCTCAAGAGGCCTTTACCTCACTTGCTCCCACCACAGATTCTGAGGAAACATAAATATACTTGGACTGTTCCTAAGTGATATTTAAGCTGTTCTTTGAATACTGATTTGGTGACTGAATTTCTGTACTTCACCCTGCTCATCTGAACCACACAGTGTTTTTTTTTCCTCTTAGGTAGAAATATATTCACTGAAAATCGAAAGCATTGCATCTTATTGTCAGTGGCTGAGGGGAATGTGATCGCTGTCCCTGTGACACTGCATGTGTATTTTCCAGACTCTGATAACACGTGTCATCTATTGACCCGTGTAGAAGCACATCTACGTGAAGTGATGAGGGAAATGCTGATGATGCACTTGTTTGTGCAGTCGGGTCACTAAGGATGCAAGATCTATAACATTAGAAGCACGAACAAACTTCTAGTCCAGAGAGCGTTTCTGTTGACACAGTGGTTTTTTTCCTCTTAGGTAGAAATATATTCACTGAAAATCAAAAGCACGAGCAAACTTCTAGTCCAGAGAGCGTTTCTGTTGTTGGAGACGGTTCGTGTGTTGTGCCACTCGGTAAGGATGGCCTGGTGTTCTGGGGTACACCGTGACTTATCTGCTGCTGAACTCCACCGGTAGTTTGTGAAATGGTAGAGTTGCTTCCTTTGTGGTCCTGCCATCTTCTAAAGGATGGGCACAGAGTCTAATCCAGGGTATCCCAAGGATAAGTGGCATCTGCACAGGTAGTCATTTCTTGCATGAAAGCTTTGATGCTCTTGAACTCTCGTTGGAGGGTTTGCTGGTCATTTTCTTAGGGTTCTCAGCAGCATGTAGAAGTGAGTAGCTGTGGCCTGTTTAGACAGGCCTGATGGGTGTCATCACTACCACCATTTAACATCAGTAGTCTCTGAGGTCACCTTTGCTGAACATTTAATGCGTGGGTATGAGCAAAGTCCTGGAGCTACAGGTCCACTCCTCAGCATAATGTATTGCAGCTTTTCACAGTAGGGGAATAGCTTATTTTTGGCTCAAGAGGAACTACCTTTTCCTTTTTTTTTTTCTTTTCTGTTTTTTTCCCCTCCCTTGTACATTAACTTGAAAGCCTTTGCCCTGCAGTCATCTAGGGCTCTCTGGTGGTCATGTGCTTTCATTTGCTCTAACAGATGATGGCAATTGACTCTGTTCCAGGACTTTCTATTGCCCATTTGCTGAACTGAATCCTTGCCTGAAATAGCCAGGAGACTCGGGGCTCTCTGCTGGAATCCTTTTAAAAGTACTCCAAAGTACTTTGGAGCATTTCCAGTGGGCCTACTTCTGGTTGGAGGGGGAACTGCTGTTCTGAGGGCTAACCTGTCATAGGTTTGGGAGTTACTAAACTGTGTCTTAGAGCGTGCAGGGAAAAATCTTTTCTTTTGTGTCCAGCAGAACCAGGGCAAAAATCAAATGAAGAAAACAAGCCAAAATAAAAAAAGCCAGAGGAGAAAGGGCAGCAAGGGCTGGGTATATTGACCCCATGGGTTTGAAGTAGTAGGTTGTCTTCCTTTTTCTCTAGGTAGGAGAGAGAAAAAGACAGTGAAAGGCACAAAAGAGCCAGCTGAGAATCAGCTGGGCAAGTGGTTTCAGGTGCACTAGAAGCAACGGTAGTTCTGATCTGAACTTGAATTAGGTGCTGTCAGATCTGGGCTGTGAAGGACCAATGCTGGTTCCGTGGCCTGTTCAGGCACAAGTGTACTGCTGTCTCATGAGCCAGCAACAAGAAGTTTGTCGTGAGTCAGCAGTAAACACTTTTATGTAGTTTGTAATCTGAGCAAAGGGGTTCACCACCATGTAGTTATGTCTGGGTGGTTAATCAGCGGCAACATGTAAGTGGGCAGAGACAGATTTTTCTTGAAGGTGCATGCTGAAAGGAAAGAAGCTAATAGTTGCAAGATGTGATGAGGGAAATTCTGATTAAAGAAAAAAAAATATCACAGTGAGTGTTGTTAAGCACTGTAGCAGATGGCCACATAGGGCACAAAGTGTTCATCCTTGGAGTTCCTGCAAACTTGGTTGGACAAGGCCCTGAGCAAAAGTAGATCCAGCCATGAAGCTGACCCTGCTTTAAGCAGTTGACTGGACTGGATAATGGATCCCTTTCAACCTAAATTTTTCTGTGATTCTCATTCCACGTCCTGTCTGCTTTGTGGTGTTTTGCAGAGTAGCTTGGAGAACTAGAATAGCTACTAAACAGGCTGGTTGTTTCCTTCACTGGGGTTTCCCTCAAAGGAAATAGCATCCTGAGAGGTGTCTTTCCTCCTTTGCATGCATTGTTGTTTGTTGTGTTTCTTTTTTTAAAAAGAAAAAAAGCTTTAATTAAAGAGGAGGTGGGTAGGGCTGGGTATGTGTGGTTTGTCACATGGCTGGAAGCAGTTACACTGGTTGAACTTTACTGCAGTTGATTGTATCTGAGAACAAACTAAGTTTTGGGTTAGTCTGTGTTACAGGTTTAAAGACTTAATGTTTCCCTGTGTTTCCCCTCTTTTAAACTAAACAGACCATCGGAAGTTGAACTTTTCTAATTGTCTTTAATTTTATTGCTCTCTTCTAGAAACTTTCAAATTTATTTTTTTCTTTATGCCTAAAGCCAAAAGTGAGGAAGGGAGGGAGAAAGAGGAGGGTGAGGTTTAACTCCTGTGTTTTTACATGGTAACTTGTTTAATGATTGTTGGTTTTGAAAATGTTAGGTAGATGATAGGCTTAGCATTTTCACCCTCTCCCAAGTTCACCATAGAAAGAGGTGAGTTGGCTGTCAGCAGGTTTAAGGGGGCAGGATCCCTGACAGAGGGGCAATAATGGGCAAATAGAGGATTTTGGAGTGTCTTAACATCTGTTATTGACAGTATAAATCTTTTAATTAAAACACTTTAACCTTCCAACCCTTTAGTTCTCAAAGACTTGTTTCTGCTCTCTGAGATCAGGAGGGTGTTCTGAAGAGGTAGAAATTTCCAGCTGAAAGGAGAGGTGCCACCTGTGGGAGCACTAATTGTGTGGGCTGGGAGAAGGTCACTGCCTTGGTTACTTCATTCAGTATCAAGTATACTTACAAAACAAAAATCAATAACCCTAAACCAGAAGGGGCCTTATTGGAGCTGCATACAACGTTATTATTGCTTCTGATACTTCACATATGTTTGTTAATACATCCTAAGATGAAGTCTGTTCCTTTTTGTTGCAGGAAACACATTGTTGGCTCATGTTGAGTGTGCTATGGCAATGCTGTGTGATGGCCTTTGTGGTGATGCACAGTATGCATCCAGTAACATCAGAAATCGCTGATTCAGCCCACGGTGGCCTAAGGGGCTTGTTTTCCACTTTTATTAGTCAGAATCTAACATGTCCTGAAAGCACTCAGGGCCTTCAGAGGATGTATAGTGTACAAATTCAGAGTGTAGTGTTCTGTGTGCTAGGAATTTATATGTTGCTAGATGGAAAGAAAAACAAAAAATAGCTTTCCTCTCTATATGAACTATCCTCTTCCTTGATTATGAGAGTAGAATGCTTAAAAAAAAAAGTTGATCACAGCTTGTAGCTTAATGTTGAGTTTTTTCTTTTTTTTTCTGTAATCTATTTCAGTACTCTCTGACGTGTGTATTTCAGATGGCCTGCATTTAAAAAAGGGAGAGATTGATTGGATAACTTTAAAGTTTAACTGAGGTTAAAATAGCTTGAATCTGCACTGGGTACTTAATGTACTTCATAGGTGTTAGTTTCTAACGTTCAGAAAATGTTATCAAAAGGCAGTACATGTCCAAACACAAACCCACACCTAAATCTGTATCCTCGCTATATCACTTCTTATGTGCTGTCACTTTTTACCCTTGTTTGAGATGCCTTATAGCAGGCCTTTAGGCATGGCTGCAATATAAGGTATCACCCACAAAAATATTTCAGGTGGTGCTGTAGTTGGTGGAGGAAAACCACTCGATAACATTTAGCATGAATAAGGTCTTGATCTTTGTTTAACGTGGAGGAGGATGTCAAAATGCTGCTTGTCCTTTGGGCAGTGCAGCAGCAGGTAAGGGGTTGGTCTGTGCAAGAGCTGAGTGGTCTTTGCTCCTCCAGTGGCCACCTGGGGAGACATGGATGTGATCTCAGTAGGTACTCAGATGCTCACTGTGTCAACCTTTTGATGAGAAAGTGTGGGTCCCTCCTGCCCTTGCAGCCAGACTGAGGTTCTCCATGGCTGCTCCACCGCTGCTTTCTTATCTTAAATGGGTCAAGTTTGGTTTTTACAGGTGAAGGGATTAAGAAGTGGTATAAACTAAAGGGAACTGCAGTGAGGGAGAGACAAAGATGAATGGGTGCTTGGTCGGGGTAATGGGTGGATGTTACAGTTACAAGAAATAAGGGGGGAGAGGTAGAGAATTACTGTGGAGAAAGAAATACTACAGTAAAAAAAAAAGATGTGACATAATTAATGGCCAACCTGCTCATTTGAGTTGAACATATCTGTGTTAGAGGGTTTCACAGCAGAAAGCCACAGAAAACATCTTTTTTTTTTTTTTTGTAATTAAATGCAATAGTCATTAGAATTAGCAGTTAATAGTAAGTAGTTCCCTAATGACAGTTGTCTTGGAATTTCGGAATATCACTTGTTGATTCTGTATTTTAACAATTGATATGACAGAATTCTGTACTTCTCACAGAAATAGAATTACACTCTGCCCTGTGTATAAAGGGATGTGAGTGTGTGTGTGTGCACACAGCCAAGTTATTAATTTAGGCATGGTTTATCAGCAAAGTTGCTGCTGCTTGGCAAATTCCAGCTCCCTTAAAGACATTCCAGATGCATGAGGGCAATAGGAACCAAGGGTACCATCTCTTCATTTCCTCTAGTTTGTTTTTAATGGAAACTACAGAATTAATTAATGTTTAGTTTGCTAATGATTAAGAGTGTCAGTGAGAGAAATTGACCAGCACAGCATGTCTGTTTTCCATTAAGATGAAGGCTAAAATCGTTAGGGGGCTGTGCCAGAAAAGTGGAAGGAGCATTTGGCAATGGAATGACTGGTGTTAAAACCCCAGCTCCTCGGGCAGAGTCAGGCTGCTGAGCTTTTACATGTACAACAGTTCTATACAGTGTAATCAAATCTATGTATCTGAGACAAGTGAAATACACCATATTACTTACCACTCAGAATCTATCTGAAGCTAAAGACTGGTGACACCTCAAGTAATAAAAACCTTGCATTGTAGATTTTGTTTTAATTTTAACACTGTACTTCCTATATTAATTTTCTTCATAGAATTGACTTTGCCAGAATTGTACTTGCTAAATAATTCATGATGTGTAATCTACAGGTGGTGCCAAAAATTTCTGCTTAGTTTCCTTTTGGCTTAGGTTACATAAGGTAGAAAATTAAATGTAAATAACACGTTACTCTTCTGATTTTTTTTATTTTCTATTGTGAATGTTTTGATATATTAAAATTGATTATCCTTTTAGGAAACTGCTGTAAGAACTTCCAGGAATTCACATGACAGTTGGGCATTGCAGACTATGGAAGCTGCCTGAAGCCAGGGATCACATGAAAAATTTCCGAATTCCATGCAATATTTCAAAATTAAGAGTTCCCAGGTGCTTTTAGCTTTGTTTTGTTCCTCTTGGAGGAGCTCAGTGCTTTAAAAACTTTCTCTTCATGGTACCAAAGTTGACCTCTGCTTCTATTGTTTAATAGCACTTTCAGCTTTATACAAGACTTAACCTTATTTGGTCTTTTTTCAGTTCTTTGGCTTTTTGACTCTCAAAACCACAGGAGATTCCACACCTTCTGCTTCTAAGGCTTATGTTGTGCTTTTTTTATTTGGGGTGCATATTTCAAATTCCTCTTAACTGAGTATTATTTGAGAAGCAGCAAGATAACTGAGTGACATAGACCTTTAATAATTCTGTATTTTGAAGTAATTTTAGCTAGAAGCTTTCTTGGGATTAGTCTTGCAGTTTCAAAGCAAGTTTAGGAATTCCTTTTTCATCTTTGTTTGCCATGGCAACAAGCTATATGTGGTTTAAGGGAGACCATCCATCTTGTAAAATTCTGGTTCTCCTGCCTTGTATAGTTACTTCCACTGTCTTTGTTGGTTTCCTTGGCTCTAAGGAATATTATGTGTTTATTGGTAGCAGCTTACAAAATTTGTATTTACAAAAAAAAGTAGGAGAAAAGTACTGCTGGCTAGATGGGAACAGTAGTCTTTGATACTGGCTAATTTTGTTTGGTTGTGAGGTGTTTGGGTGTTTTTATTTTAACTGTGTATATATCCTACTAATGAGTGAAAACTTTCATATCCCCCCTGCCACCTGTGTAGGATCTAACACCATTTATTTCTGTGAGAAGCATCGCAATAGGAGCAGATTTGTAGATGAGGACCTGATATCCACAATGAAAACTTTCATATCCCCCTGCCACCTGCGTAGGATCTAACACCATACATTTCTGCGAGAAGCATCACAATAGGATCAGATTTGTAGATGAGGACCTGATATCCACACTGTATTTGGGCTATCCATAATCTGGTCCCAGGGACTGAATGGTGACTGCTGGTTTAAGTGCACTAGGTTTGTGCCTGGAGCACACTTTAAAGCTTAGTTTCATCATAAAAAAAAAATCAAATTTGTTCACTGTACTATGCAGTGTGAGTTAGAGGGCTGTCAAGAAAAGCAGATTCCTGATCCCAACTAAAACATATATAGAGCTATGGATCACTTGATGTAAGTTGAAATTGCTGCTGCTGTACCTGCTGAAAGTCTGCAGTTTGAATGGCTGTTGCAGCCAAGATGATGACCATTACATACAAACAAGGTTTTTAATATAAAATCCAAACTAATGATGGCTCACTAGCGGCTCTAGCTTAAAATGGCTCTAACTAAAGGGATAAAATAAGACACTTCAGTTGCTTGTTTGTAATGTTAAGACTCTTTAGCCACTAACAATGTTTGACTAATTTCCTTAGGAGTAAAAGTTTTGAAATCATGATGGGTTTTGTTGGCTTAAAGCTTTTCGGTCTAACATGTAAGCTGTGTACAATGTGGCAGCACTAAATTTCTTTATGGGACTCTCTACAGAGTTGACTCTAGCAACATAACATAGTTAATTGCAGAATTATAAATTACTAGAGCCAAAAGAGTAAAGAACACAACTACTATGCTAAAACTGTATTTGGAGCTGGTTTTATGCTGATCTTTGGAAACCTTTTCTGATGGTTGCAGGTGGCACTTCGTATTTCGCCATGGACCAGTTTGAAGATGTATCAGATGGTGAAGTAGATCATGCTTTCTTTGACAGTGATTTTGAGGAAAACAAAAAGAAAGCTGAAGAAAATGGTGAATGTATAGAGAAAGAAAATACAAGTGCAGCTGTTGATGACCCTGATTTAGTTTCTAATCCAAAGGTTGCAAAGTGTTGTGAGGAGGAAAGTGAAGAAAAGCAGAAGGATTTGCAGAAGGATCAGCCCCTAGAAAACAACACAGATAATCCTGGAGATGCTTCATCTTTGTCAGTTTCTCTAGTTGCAGAAAATGCAGGGACATCTGGAGTGACATTTGCAGCAAGTAGAGCAACGCAGGAGAACGTTCCCGCTGGAATCCCCAAAATAGTTAAAGAACGTGAAGAAGATTATTATACAGATGAAGAAGATAGCAGTGACGATGGCAAAGCCCAGAAGGTTAGACCAAAATCAGCTAAGCAGTCAAACAACATAAAAAAGGCTAGCAAAAAATATATTAATATTAGTTCCTCCTCTTCTTCATCCTCCTCATCTTCCTCGTCCTCATCCTCAAGCTCAGATACAGATAGTTCTGATACAGATTCCGATAGCTATTTATCAGATTTATCTTGTTCTTTCTCAAAGAGGAATGCTTCTAGGAACGATCTTCTGTCTCCAAAACAAAAATTCAAGTCGGCACTGAAATTAGCAGAAGGAAAACCCAAGCTCAGTGAGTACTTGGAGGAGTCTGAAGACACCGTGACTGACGTAACACCTCTGTCAACTCCAGACATCAGCCCTATCCAGTCTTTTGAACTTGCAGCGTCAAACGATAAGAAACTAAAAATAAAAAGACAGGAAAATGTGAACCAAGAATTATATGGTAATTTTGAAGAATTTAAGTACGACATGAAATTTGTAAAACCAATGGGGTTGGGAAAGCCAATCTTATGTCTGTATTTTTTTCATTAGATTCCGAGTTTGATCGCAGATATAGTCAAAAAGTCTTGCATGATGCCATGGACCTGAATCAGCTTTTGAAAGGTGACTCTTACATTTTTCTTTTTACAAATTATGACATGTGTATGCTGTTGAAAACAATTAAGTTCTGCTAGAAGAGAATAAGGTTTTAATGTGCCACATGTATTTTTAAAACTGGTTTGTGATTAAGCTGTTGATCTAATTTTTTGAATTTTTATTTATGTAAATATTACTGATTCTAGAGTAGAAAGAAGAATGTATATGAGCACGTGCTGGTACACGTATACCTAGAAGTAAGATACACAGGGTGAATTTCTAAATAACATTTGATATATTAACAAATCGAATAAGAAAACTGCACATGCATTTTAGAAATCAAGGTTTACTGGACACAACTTAATATCTAAATTAAAACATCAACCTTTCTGATAAAATACTGGATTGAAAGACAGTCCAAAACTATATTGCATAATGTAATTTTAAATAGTATTCATCTACTATAGAATCATTCTATGATTCTATACTTCAGCTTTGGTGCCTTTCTGATAATGTAATGGAATTATTTGAAATTCTACTTCTGAAATAAGTGTCTGCCTCAACTTTGGTGCCTTTCCGATAATGTAATGGAATTATTTGAAATTCTACTTCTGAAATAAGTGTCTGCCTTCTAAAATACCACAAAGCTGACTAAAGGTATTTTAAAGAGAGAAATAACATTTCATTTTTACTAGAACTTGAGTGGTTGCTTCTTGCCAATAGATTTACTAAATCTGAATTAATATATTTAGTAAATCTTAATGATGAAGTCTATGAGAGAGAACTTGGTATCTCTTTTACTGCATTCATTGCAAACCTTTGTTGTACGAGGTGAGAATGCACAGAGTGATCTCATGTGCGCATCTAAACGTCTACATGGTGCTTTTGCGCTTGTTTTCATTTCCTGGACTTCTCAGGAATAAAATCTATAGAATAAAAGAGGCTTGGCTGAAGAAATCTGCTGATCTCAAGTGAGGAAAGCCTTTTTACAATCTAAATCTGGTACATTTTGACCTATGTTTGCTGTATTGCAGTAGGTCTGGCACAGCTAAAACTGTGTGTGTTATCTTGCTTCACTTTGCACCTTGCCAGACTGAGCCTCTACTGAGTAAAGCTTTAAAATAAATTGTATGCATCATTTAACTTTCCTGTAAGTAGAAATGAGGATTTTGCTTGCATGGAAGTTCTTCTGATGGTAAGAAAAGCAGAGTTATCCATCAAGAAAGGTAGAGCTGATTCTGATCTCTGACAGTCCTTGTGCTCCAGCAACTATTTTGTACTAGAAAAGTCTCCAACAGCTTCTCAATGTTGTTAGAGTTGTTGCTAGGCAATTGAAATTATGATGTCCTGCATCTTTATTTGTTCCCTGATAGCAAGAAGCTATTTAATAACTGGTGATTATGGAAGGATTCATCTCATCCCTAAAACAAATGGGTATTATAGCTCAGAGTAAGTATTCTCAGAGATGAGTCTTCGTTTGAAGTGGGGGGTAGTTTTTTCCCAAAACTGAAAACCAATTCTAAATAGCAATAATAAAAACTGAGTAATGAGAAGTAGAATTCATACAGTTGGCAGCTAATGTTACTGATTAACATGCATATTATTCCCAGGTGCCTCTCTAAATTGGCAAGCACAACATAGCTTTATTACTTTGGGTATTTTGAAGTTTAAATGAGGTAGGATTATTAATGGTGGAAACTAACTAGTCTGGGAAAAGAGGAGCTAATCTTATTCTGAGTTATTGCTTCCAGGTTTTTCCTTACTCATTAATGAAAAAAAAGTGCAAATCATTCCCCCTCTGTCTGCATTAAATGTTCATCAGAACTGCATAGGCATGAACATTGTTTCAAGTAAGAACGGTGTAAGCCCAGTCCTGAGTGCTTGGGAGGGTATTTAAATTATTATCAGGATGTCTCAGGTTTGGTTTTAAAGTATAAGATTGTTCCAGTTATCTATACTGATGAAGCATTTAGTTCAAAATTTTTGTCAAATATGTTTGTAATAGAGCTGGGGCTAAGCATTTACAGCAGTTATGTGAGTTTAATTTCCCTAGGTCCCCAGAAACTCACAGAATTTGTGTGATCTGTTACTGTGTTGTTTCTAGGGAGCATGCAGTAATTAATTTTGTACAATTCTATGCACTGGTAATGGGAACATTTGGGAAAACGAGAACCTCTTGTATTAAAGAATCACGAGAACAAAGAAAGGGAAGAAATCTGTTAAAAGCACGTGGTATTCATAGAGGGAGTTTTGGACTAGAAGAAGAGTCTGGTTATTAAGCAGCGAGGTAGTTTGTACATCTTAAAATAGAATTCATTTGAAGCATTTAGAAAAAATGTCACAGTTAAATTAAAAAGGAGTTGAAATAGTTTTCCCTGTTATATGCCCCTGATACACGTTTGTGCTCATATTGCCAACTATTCATTTTTATTATAAGCATTTAAAAAAACTTATTTAGATTAAAAAAAAAATATCATGCCCTGACATCTCCTATAGCTACGTGTCTTCTTGATAGAAGTCAAATTTTAAGTTATGCTATTCTGAATAATTTGAAATATCACAAGTAACATGATTTTGGTTGGAAATCTCATAGTCTCTGTGCTGTATATTGTGCTTTGAATGCTTTTTAGGTAGGTATTGCTGTGTGGCTTTATCACTGATTTTAGAACAAGAGATTGATAAAGATATATGGTAATGCTTGGTTCCTACATCTGAAAGTTGGGTTTTTTTATGAAAGCTGTTCCTGAAGTGAGCGTTACCAGATGCTGCAACTTGCTGTGCAGCCTCCTTTAGCCCTGTGGAAAATAACTGAACTAGTTTTAGTCCAAATGTCAGAAATTTACTTGATAACAGTAGCTGGGGGCAAAGTGAAGATTATCCTAGCTGTTCAAGTTACTTCACTTAATGATTACTTATTTATTCCTGCAGATAAACCCAAGAATTTTTGGGTTTATCTGCAGTACAGTTTTGGCATCTGTGACCTAGCTTTTCTTGCTAGTGGATTTTACTTCTCTTCATGAAAATCACTTGCTGTTTGGGTGGCATGCTTATTTAAAATATATATAAATGCTTAATATATGGTGTTTGAATCCTCTCATTTTTACAGACCTAAAGTCAGTCTTTAGGCAGCTTATGTCATTTCATTTACAATGTTCTGTAGCTGTTGTCATTGGGGTGTATGACTATAAGAACTAGTGTAGCACTCCGGAGCCAGACAGCCACACTACTTAGGAATTTAAAGATCTTATCAGTGTGGCCAAGAACATAGATACTCACTGTTTCAGTTACTCAAAGTTAGTAGGGTTATATTTTACAGACTACTTCTCCTCACTCTTTACCTTTTTTTTGCTGTCTGCATGGAAAAAAATACAGGTGTGATTATAATTTTTCAGACAGAAATGCAATTCTTCAGTGGCTTCATGATGTTATATACGTTTTTGTATGCCATTCTTTTGTGAGTCAATGCTGTTTCCACTTTGCTATAAACCTTAAAGATCTTTCAGAAAATTAAAAATAATAACTAACTCAGAGCAATATTCAAAACCTATAATAATAAATGTCAGAGCTATCTCCTCTGCTGTACTCTTGAGTAATCTGAACACAAAAAGAGAATCAAATATGCCAATGCAAATAAATATTGTCAAAAATTGGTTTTGGAAGTGCTTTCATGTTAGAAAGCTGGGAATAAAAAAAGTAGAAATTCTTCCGATGCTTGATGCTATGTCTTGATCCAAAATCCCATGTAATTTTAAGGAATTGAGGTTGTGCAGTTAGAAATGGGTTAAGCATATGAGCATGAACTAAGCGCTCATCCATTTCCATCCCGTTACGCTACAGACTTGCTCTCTGTCTTTAGACAAGTCTCTTGGTTTCTGTAGCTCAGGGTACAGAGTTGTATACTAAAAATGTTGTGTATTTCTTTATCTGAACTTAAGTTGGGTATCAAGACAGTATTAATGGGATTGCACAGGTATATAGAATGCTAAAGAATTTAGCACTCCATGTTTTCTTCTTTGTAGAATGGGGTTGATACCTGCTTATTTTACACAAGTGTTTGTGAGAATTAGTCTGTAAATCCATGGTATTAGCTATTATTAACTTGAGGAGGTGGTGTCATGGGGTAAGTAGGACAATGGGCCATAGGCTGAAGACCTGAATTCCATCTCTGAAGCTCTTGCTGACCTATATGCTCTCTGATAAATCTTTTTGCCTCTTCTGTGTCTTAAATTTTTCCATTGTAAAATAAGCAGAGCTCACGTGGTGAAAAGCACTGTGATATAAATAACATTTTTATGAAAGTAAAAGCTTTGTGTTTCTGAATAAAAGCTATTGTAGAGAACTAAGTAGCAGCTTCAACTGAACATGTAGCAATTGCTTTAACTTTTTTTTTTTGCTATAATTTGTCACTCAGGAAATAGAATAAGTTTTTTGTAACTGAAATTTTCTCTTCAGGGATGTATTATCTGTGTAATCATTCATACTGAACTAGTGTATTTGTAGAATAACTGTTAAACAATATCTAAATGTAGAGTAGACTCTATATATGTAACACCCAAACTCTGCTGTTGAACTAAACGTGTATAGCTTTTCCACTAAGTTTTGTTTAGTTTGTGTGTTCATAGTTTGAACTAATTCTGTGCTTATGTGTATACATATTTTATCACTTCCACAGGTCTAGTAATTCATGTTGAGTTAGAAGAGCAATTATTCTTATATGTAGAGTTTGAAAACAGATTGAGAATCTTTAAGATTGTAAAGAGATACATGTTTTCCCAACATTTATAAGAAATTGTAATTCTGGGAGGAAAAAAAATTCTGCACCTCTAAGGTATCTGTTGTCTTTCTCGTGATATCAAGAAATAACTAGCAGATCTATTTAAGTGTATTTAAATAGGGAAAATTTATACTTGAAAAGCACATTCTCCTGTTCTTAAAACATCAAATCATGAATTTTCCAAAATCCTTTCTAAAGAGTTCTGTGACATGAAATAATGGGTGATCTAGGAAATATTTGTTTAGAGATACTACAGGGAAATAGTTGTAAACTGAAACCACTAGATGTTGATGCAGAACTGTGCTTTAATCCTTTTGTGTTTTTCAGTTGTGTTACAGATGTGGTAGTGGAGCACTATAAAACAAAACACCAGGCAAACTGGAAAGTGTAAGCACTGAAGCAATTTAATGCATTTTCTTCTACTGGGATTGCAACAGATACCCTGAAACATGCATGATTTTAATTTCAGCCTTAATGGCATTAGGACAACTGTATCGTCCTGTCCTAATGCATTTGACTTGCTAATTATCATTTGTATTTTATATAAGGTTTGGCTTTTCTCACTCTGCAAGGTCATTTCAATGCTTACAAATGGAAAGCAATAAACAGCTTGTTTATTGCTTAAAAGAAAGTCAGGTGTCTCTCCATGGAAACCAGCTTTCAGAGAAAGCCTGTGAATAGCAGAGAATTTCTTTTCCTGCTCACCAGTAAATGAGAAGTAGAACCACACACTGTGCGAGTCTTTATGGAAATGGTGCTGCTCCTTTATCACTCTCCCCCCAATTATTGATTTATGACAATGAAGTAGCAAGTAGGGATTTAGTTAAATTGCTTATTACCTACTGATAAGAGTGTGAAGCTACGGGTAAATCATATTTAATTGTTCCAAGGCTTACAGACTATTTAGAACCTTAAATCACAACCTTAAACTGTAGTGTCACCTCCTGTTGGCATTGGCCACTGCAAAAATAGTCAGGTAAACCATTCAAACACTTAGTGTAGGTGCATTGTTGAATAAATTGTTGAAATAACTCCAATATTTGAGTTATATTTCAGGTACAGTTGGTGTTATATTTAATAGCATTTGGAATAAATGCATTTACCTCTTCCATGGGGTCTTGATTCTTTTTTGTTTATCGATGGTGAATTGTCCCTGGTTTTGTAGGACAGGCAGACATGCAGAACCTCTTCTCTCTTCTTACTGCTTCGTTAGACTGCAGCTTATTTGAGCATTGTTTAAGGAGCAGTGATTTCATGGATGTTTCCTGCCTTCTGCTTGTTTTGTTAGGAACAAGCACTTACTCTGTAGTACCAATGATCCTCTTTCAGTGAGGATCTCATTCTGTTGCTTGTCTCTTTTTCTACAAAACTTTAAACTCTCCTGTTGCACAGTATGTAAGGAGATCAATGCTGCATTTGCTGGGATTTAGAAAAGGTTATCTGTGGGTAGACTTCAATCAGTTATGGTTTGTTTTGAAATGGTGTTTGCAGCATAAATTCTTCCTTAACATAGATCTTAACACGTTGAGAGTAGTTGGTTTGTTGTTCTTCAAGCTAGTAAGTTTAAAAAATTAAGAGTTGTGATCTGATCCAGTGCCTTGGTGTATTGCAGCACTGTTGCTGCAAAGAGCTACTTGTGAAATTTCAAATGTGGTTCTTCCTTAGGTCCTACAGAAGGCTAACTGTAAAAAGAGCAGTTGAGGAACTGATTGATCTTTTCACCCCATCCCCTTGAAGAAAACTTGCTGCTGCACCTGTTGCATTGGGTCTGAACTTTTGGTGCAAAATTCCTGTAATTCAACAGTGTATCAAGAGATTAGTTACTGGTTTTGGGCAATCTTCTGCTCAGGCTTCACGGAAAAGCTTCGCAGCAGAACCTTCATGGTGATCTTAACAATTCTTTCACTTTATTGATATGTTTCTTTTGAGTTGTGATAAAGTTGATGTTACCACTGTTAGCAAGCCCTTCACCTCAAGAGTTGTCAGAAAGCTGTCAGCCATAGAAAAGCCAGTTTCTACACCAAGCAAGTATAAATAATGAATAATAATGAGGCTAAGAATTAGCAATGTACTGAAGAAAGTGGGCTGGAGTTTCTTTTGTGCCTGCCACAAGTGGGAAAGGTTGTCTTCATGGTGAGGTGATAAGGATGAAGCACTGTAGAAGGAAAACATGTTGAAAGGAAAAAGACTTAGGAGAGGCAAAAGAAAGGAGGAAGAAAAAAGAGATGAATGAAAAAAGAAAAGTCTGTGTGGTGGGGGGGCATGACTGAAGAAGCTGGAAGGTGAGAGTGAAGTTAGTAAAATTTTGTCATGCGTTGCTCACATACTGAAGAGATAGGTAATTACCTTGGTGCTTATTTCTCAGAAAGCATTTTTAATCTGTGTTTGCTGGTTATAGTTAATAGCTGCATCGTAAGAGCATACATTCTCTGCCAAAGTATAACCAGCTACCTTCTAGAGAACTAAAACCATCGTGTACCAGTGAAGACATGAAACCTGTGTTTCTAATTAAAAATGTCCTCATTCAGAATGCCATTGCTTTAAATGGAATTTGACTAGTTCACACCTTTCTCAGGAAGAAAAGAGCTGTTTGGAATTTGCACTGACAGTTATTCAGAAGCTTAAATGTCTCTGGTAAGAGAGTGCATCACTGATAGCGTTGGTGCCACAAAGGTAGGTCAAGATTTCAGCTGATAAGCTGTTCTTTGCCACAACCTGATTTCCACTCTTGCACATGATGTGCAGCCTTGTTTAACCTCTGAGATGCTATGGATGTAAGGCAAAAGATAAAATTATCTTTCATAGCTTCATAATAATACAATTACCAATTATGTAATTTGATATAGATAAAGCATTTTCTTCAGATTGCAGAACACAGCTGGAAGAAGGTAATTTGAACAATGCTGGTTTTGTATGTTCCCATATGGACATATTTAATTAGGTTTTTTTACTGAGAAGTGCTTTGCAGTTACGGTGTGAACTGTGTGGCTCTAGTTATTTTCTGTGCATTTCTTTTTGTCCCTTGTAGGTGTATCCAGATGAGTCTCACCCCAGGTTTGTCTCCTCAAATGGTGTTGGTGGCTGTACTAGTTTTTCCTTGAGAATAACTTACTAAAGCCTGAAGATACTTTTTAAGATGTTTATACTTTATACTTTATTAACTTATTGGTTGGGGCGCTTGATCTACACTAGGTCTTGGTCTTGAGGTGATTTGCATCTTTTCTTGGCAAATTAAAACAATATTTGCTAATGTGAAGTACCTCACAGTTAGAGCTGCCCAAGGAGCAGTTCTTGCCTATTTTGGCTGGCATACTAACGATCCAAGTTTACTAACTTCCAGAGGGATTTTTAAATTCATTAGCTGTTTGGGTTTTGAGTTCTGGATACTGTTCCTAAGTTTCTCAAAGACCGTAGCAATATTTGCTTGCATCAATTCTGGAATAAACTCAGTTGAGCTACTGCGAGAAAGATTTCATTTTGTTTTGAAGAAAGAACACACTCATTCTTTGTGGTTTTTAAGCTATTACAGGCTGCCTCAGACATCCCTCACCAAAAAAAACAAAACCTGCTGATGGGATGTGTTTGCTGAGGAAATACTACTGCATGCATGGATGATTTTTTTTTCTTTCTGCTTTTATCAAAACTTCTTCTTTGGATGCTTGTTTTGCTTGTGTGGGGCTGTTAAGGATAAGAGTGAGCGGTATCTTCTGGAGGCACTATGATGTTGGAAGAATGTGGGGAATGGCTTGAGTAAGGCTTCCTCGTCTGTCACAGCTCCAAAAACTTGAATAAAGTCCGTTTATTCAAACCTGGTACCACCATTCCTGTACCATAAATAATGCAGTGGTTTGATGGGGCAGTACCATGACAGCAAAGGCTTAAAACAGTTGCCAGAAGATCCACTGCAGAGCTGGAGAAATCAAAAGCTTAGAAATAGGTCAATTGCAAAGCTCCAGTGGAACTGTAATAAACATATTAACACTCTGGCTGGCAGTGAAGTTTTACAGTTATTATCTTGCAATTGTGCAAGTAGGTCTTGCTGTGTATTTTTAAGTGTGCATTCATTGTTCTTTTGTCTGGAAATCTGCTATCCTGGTTTAATTTGTTGGGGTTTTACTGTTTTAAACTGTAAACAGGTCCCAGCAATTTTTCTGCAGTTATATATGCTCACTCATTTCCTCTCCAACCATTACACTTAACTTTCATCTTTGCCTTTGCAATTCCTGCACCAATGGGATGTAGGATCACTTCAGGAGCAAAGGATCAACAAAATCATTTTGGGAAATGCTTTTTTTGTCTCAGAGTCATGCTTCCCCGGTGTCAGTTTTCTCTCTGAAACACCATTTCTGTTCTGCCTCTCAGCCAAGACAGATATTTTAGACATCTTTGGAGCAAAGTTTAAATCTCTTTCCTTCTGCAAACATCTAAATACTAATTTATGCTTTAATTTTTGGTTCTAGAAGTTATTTCTAGTCCTGGGTTCCTGAAGCCGTGTTTTCCGCTGCTTGGAAAACTTCTTTGGTGCCACAAATGATACCACTATGATGATGGTTATGTTCACTGTTGGTTTAGTGCTGTATAACAGTAGCTCTTTTAGCATATATATATAAAAAATTGCCTACGTCGATTGCTGGTACCATAGTAACTACAGTAAAAATACTTGAGGATGAAAGTGTGAGCATATTGTACCAATGTAGAAGTTGGGCAAACATACAGGTAATGGTGGAGATGAGGGAGTCAAAGCAGGGATCAGAGACACCAACCATTTTTCTTTCCTATTGCTCAGTTGTTCACTGCATCTGTTCAATTCCTCTGGATTCCTGCTCATAAACGGGGAGGAGGGGGATTCCTAGTGAGAAGGAAGCAGATGGGTTTTAACTAAGGCCAAAGTTAGACTTGATTTTTGTGATGAAACGTGTAAAAATCAATCTACTGAAAACAACTGAGCATCCCTGAAAAATTCTGAAGTGCAGAATCTGGAATTCACATGGGAGGGAGGTAAAATGTACCTTTGTTTCTTCAGATTTGTAAATAAATCCTAATAATAGAATGCATGATTTGTATTTGTGTTGGTTTTTTTAATCTTGGTATTTTACTTTTTGCCTTTCAAAGCTTTCCTACAGTTAGAGAAAAAAGAACAAAATCTAACCGTGGATCAGCCATCTAAAGGAACAAGGAAAAATTATTCTTTTTCGAATGACGAAGTGAGACGGATTGATCGGGAAAACCAAAGGTTGCTAAAGGAACTGTCCAAACAATCTGCAAAGCCAAGAAGAACCACATTGAAGAAGTCAGCTGGACCTCCTCCTAGACTGTACCACACTGCCCTCAACAGGCAAAAGGAGCAGCAAAGGATCGAAAGAGAAAATCTGGTGAGTTCTGAGGCTGGATTTGAATCTGTAAATTGAGAAGGGCTATTTGTTGGCAGAAGAACTGCTGCTGAAAACTGATAAGGCACAACTTGGAGCTTGACTGCGGTAGGTCTGCAATGAATTTCCCTTACTATGCTGTTGGAATAATTGTTCATATGGTGGTAGGTGGGGGGATGATGCTTTTTTCCAGATGAAAATAGATTTTAGTTTATATGAGCTTGGTCTGCTTCAGTATCATTCAATGTAAGAGGAACAAGCATTATTGTTAACACACTCCTAACTTTGGGTAGGAGTCTGACTATTCATCCTGTTTCATGCATCACCATTTCTAGTCTCAAGAACGGGCTTGCAAAAAATAAAGCAATCAATACAGTAGCATCAAACCCATTATATTTGAAATGCAGAAGATACAATGTGAATGTTAATTTGGTTCTTTGACTCATTTTATAGCTATCCGTCTCTTTCAATATTTGTAGCACTCTGCTTCTCACAGTATTGGGATGTAAAGGCCATCACAATAACTTCAGTGGAAAACAAATTCAGACTCATAAGGATATTGGCAAAGTTGTCAAATAACAAAAATAATACTGGTTTGAATAAGATGCTTTTAGTGATTGAACTGTAATATGTATAATGACATCTTCATATTTCCTAGTTGCTCATTAGTGTGTTTGAAAAGGAGATAAAATATAGTTAAAATATTTGGAAAATTTCAAGTGGAAGTAATGTATTTACTTTTTTTCTTCTGTGTAAGTATAGGTTGCAGTTTCCTTTTGTCTAGATAAACAGAGATAGATATTCAACATGAGGAAAGTCTGATCCACCTGTTCTAGGAAAATCCATTAGGTTTTAATTCTTCCAGCTTTCAGAAATCTAGATTGTTCAAACTTTTCAAACTATGAAGCTTTCTCTCCAGCTCTACTAGACTACAATTGACCAAAGAACATTATACTTCACAACTGAAAGAATTTGGCATAAATGCTTGCTATAGATGTGTGATAGTTCTCATTGTCTGGGGGAGAAAGCTTCTTAGGCTTCAGTGGTTTTAGGTTGGTTAGGAGGGCTTTCATGGTGTGTTGGGGGTAGTGTGTGTGTGGTTGTTTTTAGTTTATTTAAAGCATTAAAGCAGGACTTGCTCTTCCACATGAACCTTGATAATAAGAGTGTATTCTTGGGCTGTGGGGGGAACTGCTGTGCCACTCACACTCTAATAGTAATGTGCTGTGCTACGTTACAGTAGTCATCTATTGTTAATTAATGTATGAGGTATTACTACATGACAATCATCTATTGTTAATTAATGTATGAGGTATTTTACAATACATTTCTCTTTATGCAAAGCCACAAATCTTTTCTCCTATGATGTATTGCAATGTTCTTTGTCCAAGAATGTCTTGCCTTTGCAACTTTTAGGTAAAAAATTCAGCATAAACACACAGTCGTTTCACACCTTGCTGATTTAGTACCTTTAGAACCTTAATGGTGGTTGCTCATAGTCCAAGAAATAATATCCTTCATTTACTTATTCACTTCTGCTTTAGTTGTCCACTCACGTTGCTGATGTCAACATGTTTGACATCAGAATAATTCCTTAGAATTTATGTGAGGGCATAATGCTATTTTAGACTGTAAAAACATTTAGTTTATTCTTTTCTCCAAACTTGGGATGTTATATTCTGGTCTTCTTTCTAGAAGAGTGATTCATCAATAACTATCGTGTTTTGTTTAACATTGCTATCACTTTTGAGCAATTCTGTTTACTTTATTCTGTTCTATATTCTGGTCTTCTTTTTAGAAGAGTGATTCATCAATACAGCTATCGTGTTTTGTTTAACATTGCTATCAGTTTTGAGCAATTCTGTTTACTTTATTCTGTTTGAAGTGCATGTGCGCCTAGAGCATCGCACTTGTAACACATTGATTTTTCTAGCACTACCTTTTGGGATTACAAGCATGACATGCTTTTCTCAGACTGGAAATGAAAGAGGTGCTCTACCCTGCCTCTTGATGAGGGTTTTTTTGCTTTGTACAGCTAAAAGCATGTGCTTTATGAACTTGTTTTCTCTTGGTCAGCAGCTTTCTTCACCCTTGTAAGCTGAAGAGCTGGAATTCCATGGAACTTCCTTATCAATCTTTCTTCTGTTACTTGAGACAATTTATATTTTCTTTTTTTATACAAGGCCTGAGGTACTGCATACAGGATATGCTGCTTGGTACACCTTTCTGAAATAGTTGTTGGAGAAGGATGCAGTGTTTTGTAAATAATTCAAGAATAGAAATCTACAACAATAGTCTGCAGGGTGTTAAAGACTCTTAATGCAGAGATTTACTTATGTTTTTCCTGTTGGATTGCAGCTCTTATAATTTCTTGTCTTGAGGTTAACTCCTTGTCTGGGGAAAACTTTCACTTGTTCTGCTGGAACGTTCTTGGAGTAATGCCTATATTTGCTGTTATCAGAAGGACAGCTTGCTTTCTGGTGCAAGCATTTGGCATCAGAGGTGATGCAGGGGAAGTAATTCAAATATTAGGAAATTAGAGGGGAATCTAAGCAGTTTGGTGCTCTCTGGCTTTGTGAAAGGGTGCAAGGAAGTATGGGGAATACATCTTGCTCCCACAGACTCTGCTAGAAAGAGCTATGATGGAATAAAAAGGTGCATTGCTTGGAAGAACAGTAGTTGCAAGGTAGTGATTAGCAATTTGTGGAAAAAGCACAATTATCAAGTGGATCACTGTTAAAATTAATGTCATAATTTTGTACTTGCTGCTTTTGACTCAGTGCTTTCGTAAGTGGAACCTGCTTTTGGTTTCTTATTTGAGCCAGCAAGTCTAGAGTGTCGTTTGCCGATAGAGGATGCTGCTGATTCAGAAAACATTCCACCCTTGTGTTTGAAGATACTCAACCCTGTCTCCTGTCCCATGGAAAAGGACATAAGCGTGGCTGATGTGTTACTTTTTTTTTTCCTTCCATGTCTGCATATATGTGTCTCTCAATGTATTGACATATTGGTTGTTATTTCTGCCAGTATAAATAAGATGCTCAGCTTCACAGGCTGGACACTACCCACCATTGAAACTTCTAATGGTTTATTGTGTGGTGCAAAAATCTATACTGGTATATACTAGTAAGTATTTGGGGACCTCGAAATACAGATTTGCAGACACTGCACCCTTCTTCAGTCAATTCATCTAAATTTAGAAGTAATTCATATTTGTGTTGTTTTTTTGTTGGGTTTCTTTCATCATTTTTAACTCTGACAAGCATTTAGGCATTAAATGACCTTAGTGAGCCAGGGTGCAGTGTTCAGCCAAGTTCCTAGGAAACAAGTGACCTTTTGATTTGGGGTCACAGTGGCAGTTCACTGGAGGATCTCAGCAGGTCTGGGACAGTAGTTCTCAAGCCTTAGATGGTGAGGGTGTTCTCCTTTTCTGTGGATATTTGGTCTTCCCATGCATCCCTGTGCGTTCTTTCTCCCCCATGCTGTTATGATTCACTGCACGTAACACTCCATGTTGTTTATTTCCCCCACTTCTTGCTCTCCCAAAATGTACCCTAAACCCAACAGATCCAACTCTGATCCCAGTTCCAGTATAGTCATCTTCCCACACAAATAAAATAAATCACTTATTGAGTTTCTCTGCAAGGGCTGTCTTTCCCTTTTCACTTACTTGGTTCCTGGAGTTGTCTGTGCTGCAGATGTCACTAATGCTTCCCCCCACCACTTGGTGTAGTCATTCCTTTAGAAAATACTGATATAAATGAGTGTATATTCATTTGTCTCCACTTGATTTAATGGTGCTGATGAGCTGTGGTCATTGGGTGGGGAACAAAGGGCAAGGGAGAGGTAGTTCCTCTGGCCATGTTAGGGACTGCTGCCATGTATGGAAAATATACCTTTTCTTGAGCCACAGTGTTCAATCCTGTGCTGCCCTGCTATCCCTGTTGTGCCACAACCAGGGACATAACTCCTAAGCAGAAAACGGGAGGGGAGGGCACTGGTCCATCAGGGATGTGCCTGGGCACCTTGTGTTCTCCTCCTTCGATGTGTTCTGCACTGCTTTTTCTCTGCCTTCCCTTTGTCCTGTCCCCAAGGAGCTTCAGGCCTTGGATGCTGCATATTTATGTGGTTGTAGGATGAATACCAAGGTTATTGAGCCTTACTGGCCTCAGTCTGGAAGAGAAAGTTGTAGAGAATGCAGTTAGGACAGAGGATGTAGTCTTTTGGGTCATCTTAGGAGCTCAGAAATACTCATGTTGGGTTGGGGGCTCCTTAGAACTCAAGCACCCGGGGGTTTATAAGATATTTTCACTTACTGGGGTCAAAACCATTATATCCCAAGACTGAAAACAAAATGTTGGTGGTTTCTGAGATCACAAAGTGCAATGCAAAAAGAGAAGAAAACCCAAAAAAAGCCAATGCTTCTATGGCCCTCTCATCAGGGGAAGCTGCCAGGATGTGGGACGGGCACACGGATGTGCCTCATCAGGGGAAGCTGTCAGGATGTGGGACGGGCACACGGATGTGCCTGGCTGACAGATCTTGCAGTGCGGTGAAAATACAGGGCAATTCTGTGATCATGGTATTTAGGCTATATGCTCTTTGTGGTCAGATTTATTTTTTTTATCTGCTGATTCCTGACCCTCACTCAAGATTCCTGAACACTGCTATGCTAATTATAATAAAGACTGACTAATTGGCATGTTCAAGGAAAGCGTTGGTTATTTTGCACACTGCTCATTTTTGTGGGATTTGTTCTTTCCTACTCTTACCCCGCTTTCTTTGTGGTGATGCCTGTCACATGTAAACTTAGCAGCTGTTTGGTTTAAAAGACTTTTCTGTAGATTGAAGAATTTTAAGACTTTTTCGCATTTAGAGTTTGTCAGTTTAGAGCTCATTATGCAGCTGGCAATTGAAGAAAATGATGAATATGTGTATTGATAAGGACAGAAAGCTGTCCTTGAATGCACTGTTATCTGCTTCCCCCTCCCCCACCGGGACTCTGCAAAGGGACAGTGTGGTCACTAACATCAGTGACATTAGAGGAGGCATAATATAAATAAATTTGAACAGCTGTCAAGGCACACTAGTCAGCTGGTTAGGATTCAAAGGAGGTGAATCTGAAGCCTTCATGCATTTAAAAAGCAAAGTAAAACAGGAAAAAGTCACGTTTTCTACCTTCTCTCTGAACTCACTTTAGGAGTGCTGCATTTTCAGAGGTTTTTTTTCTTTCTTTTTCAACATAGCTGCAGCTAAGTGTGTATGGATTTACTTTACTTTTTTCTTTTTTTTTTCCTGTCAGAGAGCATTAGAATTGGCTTTAGTGTTCTCCTGATATGCCCAAAGTTGAATTACCAGCATTTGTCTCGGCCTGTTGTACAGCAGCAATCTTCTGATACAGTGTTGGGTTCCTTTGTTCTCCATTTGTTGGGAACCTGACATTTCCTTCTGTCAATCACAATATGTCTTTAAGTGTCCTTATAGATACTAATCTACATCCAGATGCCTAAATTTATAAAGGATTATCCTATCCCTGGAAGGCAACCATGCAGGAACACCTTCTATGATTTTTTTTTAATATTATCTTTCTACTTTTATTGTAAACTCAGTATAATAATCAAGTAAAAGATGATGGAGAAAATAAAAGCCTTGGGAGGCTTTTGCCAAGCTGGGAGGTCATCAATGATATGGTATTATCTATGGATTGAGCTTGAATGAAGAGCTCTGAGGAGCTACAATGCAATTTAGAGCAACGAGTGACATTCCTGGCATTAGTATCTATTGCTTTTTTTTTATTCCTTAAATCTGATTGGGCACTTATATTTGGTGCTGAACACCTGGATTATGTTATGTGATCTGATTCTCTGGTCATTAAGATCAATGACAAAATTTCTGTTTGCTTTAGGGGTTCAGGATTTAGCACTTCAAAAGAACAAGGAAGGTGGCAGCGTTCATCAGTCCATTTCTCAAAAAGGAGACATAATGGAAGAATTAATAGATTGATATCTTTGCTTTAGTGGTTCAGGATCCAGGCTCCCAGAGATTTAGCCCTTCAAAAGAACAAGGAAGGTGGCAGTGTTCATCAGTCCATTTCTCAAAAGGAAGACATAATGGAAGAATTAATAGATTGATATGTATAATTGAAAAAAGAACATTTGTTCAAGGTACTTGTACCGTTGTACAACGGTACTTCCTTAGCTGAGGACCTCAAGATTGTAGGGTTGGTAATAAAATATAAGAATGAGATTGGTTACAGATTTATAGGTCAGGGCTGCCGTGTTGGTGTGGTGCTGAGTTCATTTCTGCAAACAGCCGGGCGTTCTCCAAACTGCAAAATTCACAACCCTGAATAGCGTGTACGTGAACGGTGCCCTTGGTACAGTTTGCAGCAGAGGGCATGGGAACCACAGGAGCTTTTCTCTTCTTCTCTAGAAGAGCTTTTCTTGGAACACTTTGGCACCACAGAATCTGTATCTGCTTTTTCTGAGGCTCAGGGCTGTATCATGTCCAGTAAAAACCTGTACTGAGAGAGGTCTCTTATTTTTTTCACTTTAGTAATGGGGACTTTATACCTTTCAAAATACAGGCATAAAAGCAAAAGTGCAGAATTTTACTTTAAACTAGAATAAAGTGGGCATATATAAATATTGTGTGTTCAGAATCAAGCTTGAAATCACTGCAGTGTTAAGGTATGCAAATTCTGTGAGGCTGGCACAGTTGGAGTGCAGGCTTGAAACAAGCCCAGAGAAAAGTCACTTCTGCAATTTACCCAATCCATTTCTGGTTGAGCTGGACGTATTGAGAGCTTCCATTTCTAATAGTGAAGGTAAATAAGCGGTCTCTGCAAGTCTAAATGTGTTTAGTTCTATTAGGAAGTGCAGATGAAGTTGTGAGTAAAATGTTGGATGTAACATTTAGAGACAAGTCTACCGTTTCATGTTCTGCAACTGGCTTTAGTGAAGAGCTATTTCTAGCTGAAGTCCTTCCTTTGACTTTTGCTTACTTAGGTATTTCCACTTGACCATGAACTGACTGGCACTTGATGCAAGCACTTGTGACACATTGTGTCTGAGCCAAAACCACTTGTCCTTTCTCCCTTGTGCACTCTGTACGGATTTCCAGTGCCCAAACTACCAAGAGTTTGTAGATTCCTGTTACAGCCAGACAATGACAACTGACATCCTGTGAATACTATACTGTTTCCTAAGTCACTTTCTATAATGGTTTTTTTTTTTTATTTTTCTTTATTAAAAAAATCAGTACCTGATTGGGAGTGGGGAATCACAGAATGATATGGTATTGGAAGGGACCTCTGGAGATCATCTAGTCCAACCCCCTGCCAGAGCAGGTCCACCCAGAGCAGGTTGCACAGGAACGTGTCCAGGTGGGTTTTGAACGTCTCCAGAGAAGGAGACTCCACCACCTCTCTGGGCAGCCTCTTCCAGGGCTCTGCCACCCTCACAGCAAAGAAGTTCCTCCTCATGTTTAGATGGAACTTCTTATGTTCAAGTTTGTGCCCATTTCCTCTTGTCCTGTCCCTGGGCACCACTGAAAAAAGACTGGCCCCATCCTCCTGACATGCACCCTTTAAGTATTTATAGGTGTTTATCAGATCCCCCTTCATTCTTCTCTTCTCCAGACTAAGAAGACCCAAGTCCCTCAGACTTTCATGAAGAAGACTTGGGGAAGAATGACCCCAAAGTACAGTTTAATGGCTATACAGACAGATTCTTGACTTCTGCCATATAAGTATGCATCTAGACAATACATCCTTATCCACAGAAGTATTTTTAGTATTTTGCAGACTTGTGTAATCACAGTTTGCATTGTCTCTCGTTGATAGGATGCATGTCATAACCCTGGTCAGGAATGGTTTTGTCACTGCCAAATGTTTGTAGGCCATCAAAGGAATTGAAATCAGTTAGTGGAGGGAATGTATAGATCTAGGCAAGCGCTAGAGGTGAAATATAGTAAAAATGTGAAGCTGTTACTTGGAAGTTGTGTGTAGCTGGGTATTTCCAAATTTGTCCTGCCATCAGGTTCTTTTTTTTTAGATTATGGAAATTACTTAATCCTGATTCAAGTAGAAGTAGTTATGCAGAATAGGAAACTAACTGTACTTACAAGTACTGTGCAAGCAGCTGTTCAAATTTAATGCTTGCTGCATGATTGCCAGAGTTAATTTCAACAAGAGGAAATGATGTCTGTAACAGTAACTTCAACTAGAATCTCTTCAAACTACATTATGGATCAAACAAATATTGTCAACGGTCGATGTTTGTGCTTTCCCTTTGATATTACTTTCACACAATTGAGGTCAGGAATTCTCTTTGGGGATCATGTAGGGCAATATAAAATAATATAAGTGTGTTTGGGGAAAAAAAAAAACAAACACAACTTCTCATCCCTCCAGAATTGAGAAGAGTAACCAAAGGTAGGATTAGAAGAGCGTAGCCCATCTTCCTACTACCTTTTATGTTACCAAACAGATGTATTGTTTCAAATTATCATAAAGTACAGAGAACTGGGGGTACTGAAGATGTACTCATTATCAAATTAATGATATGTAAGAGATACTTACTATTTGTGTCATCTTCTAACACTGAAAAAAGAATTTAATATGAGCAGAATAGCCCATGCTGGTCACCAGGGAAGGAGTTCTTGTGCAATGCTGAAAATTTGGGGTTTGGTTTTTTTTGCAGGTCAAAGAAAAATCAATTTGTGTTGTAGCTTCTTGTTCATCCTTTCTCTTTCTTGATGATGTTTTTCTTCGATATTAAGGCTTTCCTGAAAAGACTGGAAGCAGTGAAACCGACACCTGGAATGAGGCGTTCTGAACAATTGATGGACTATCAGCGCCAGATAAGTTATCTAAGTTCTTCACCAACTGTAAGAAGAGGAAGATCTGCTTTCAGCCAGCTTAGTCCTTCTAGTAAGTACTTTGAAGTTGCAGGTTCTTGCATTTCTTTGCATGCGTTTCTTTTTTGTAATTCAGAATAGTGAAGCACTTACTGCTAAGAATAACAAATAAGTTCTGTTCTCTGGCTTCCTTAGATTAATGATTTCTGTGTGATAAGTGATCAAGGTGATTTAAAAAAAAAAAATCTTGCCAAAAGTGTGATGACTGTATGAATTGTTTACTTTACATCCTAAATTTCTAATAAATTATCTTGTTAATCATCTTTTCCAGGAAGGTCAATAAATCATTGTTGTAATGAAACACTTATTTTGCCAGTACCTTTTATTGAAAGGAGAAGAGGAGGAGGAAAAAAAATCCAACACAAAAACCCTAAAAAAGTTTTAAATTCCCATGTAGAAAGTGCAAATCTAGCCTTGTTTCTCTTAGAAATTGTGTGTGTAACAATTGAAAGTAGGTCATGTCCCCCCATAGATGGGGGAGTTGGGCTGAAGAACTGTAGCACTAGGGCATAAGCTTGAATTCTTTGTCCTGGCTGTTTACAAACATTTTGGGTTTGTATTCAACTTACTGTGATTTGATTTTTATTTTCTTTCACTGGAAACTAGGGTAATGAATGCAGTACTAATAAGGATTCTCTTTTTTGTGTGTGTTATGAACAGGAGGTATTTCGAGAGCATCGGGTGTACCGAGTACAAGGAGCCAGAGGAATGAAAAATCCATGTCCGATCCAGCCGGCGGGGTGTTACAGAGACCTAAACCCACTAACGTTCGTGCTGCTTGGTTATAAGCCTCGTGTTCTGAGATGATCCTCAGAATTCTTTTTTTTACTGCTTTTGTAAATTCTGTGCGCAAAAAATTCTTCCTGCATCGTTCAGTGATTAAAATGCATTGCATATGATATAATTGCTTATAAAATGGTTTCAAGGGAACACGTTCACTTCGGTCAGTTTTTACCGTGACAGGAAGAACTTATGAAAGAGAAGGAAGTATTTGAATGGACAAGTTAAATAGAAATTGCTAATTGTTACTTTATTCTCAAATCATAAGTGGATTTTGTATACGTAACATGGAAGGACAGAATTGCTGCACTATAGGCACAAGATGTAAAGAAGATCTTTAAAATAATATTATTTTAAAAGATTGCATTAAACTCGTAAGCATATGCTTAATTCCTAGATTGTCCTCGTTTTTCATCCGGGCTTTAGGTAAGCCTTCTGAACTTGGTGGGTCATGTTCTTATGACTGAAAGAATCTTCTTTTTACAGCTGCATGAAGGGGTGAAAAGCAGATGGTGTGCTCCTGCGGGGGTAGGTAGAATACTGAGCCTGCAGAAGATGTTTTTCTGCCACTCTTGCACTCCAGGTGTTGAACACTTGTTTTCTACTCAAGGCTGCATCTCTTCCAGATTTAAAACTGTTTTGGAAGTTTGTGTAGAAAAGAAGAATCTGATGCTATTTGAACAAGAGTAAAGACTGAAGTGAACAACAGTTTCAGATTCACTCGAAACACGAGTAAGTTTTAGTTATTTTTTGAGCTAGAGAATACTAAGCAAGGAGAATATTTTATGGCCCTGCTTTTACAGGTCCTAACCCTTCTCAGAGGGGAGATATAAACTTGGGCTGCAGGAAACTTGAACATCTGATTTTGAGAGCAACTGCTAACCAGGATTTGAAGTAATAATAGAAGAAGACAGAAAACAGGAAATCTTATATTATTCTTAACCTGTTTTTTAATGTCATGTTCGTACCAAATATTTGTAGTAGTGTCCAATAAGCTTCAGGAGCAACATCCATTTACAAGGGGAGCAAAATTGTAATGGAATTGGTAATTACAAATAGTAAGTGGTGTGCTTTATTTCTATATGTCAAGGCAAACTTTCAGTGAGCTTCTTTTGTAGGACTGCAGTCTTATAAAGAGCATAAATTGTGATGCCACTATCCGTGGATATTGCAGGAGCCCTGCTTGCTTCCCCAGCTTCTTCCCAGGAGAGAGAAAGGAAATCTCTTTGTATTACGCATAATGAAAAACCAAAACAAAAAAAGCTGTATTCAGTAATGCTGGGTCTTAGCCCTGTGAAAAGGAAAGTTTCTTATTCTTTGCTCGTGCTTGCATGAGGGCTTAGGCTTTTGGGTATTCTGCGTTGTAACAAGCTCTTTACTTGGTCCTGTGTGATAGTTGGGCAGAGCTGCTGCGCCTGGTGACCTGCAGATCAAATTTAGCTGTTTGACAATGTTTGAACTTTTTGACTTTAAGCAGCATTGTGGCAAACAGATTTTTATTGCTGTTATTATTCATTGATAGGGACTATAAGGAATTTTTTGCATAGTGCTGCTGTATTTATTATTTGTACTATTGTGCTACTTAAAATTATTCACTATGTAAAGATTTTTTTGTCCTTGAATGTGAATATCAGGGTCACAGTTTAAATACTTTCGAATGTTCATATGATATTTTTTTTTCTGTGAAGAAGTTCACGAAATGGATTATTTTAATTGCTTCATCTTATTTTATTTAACTTTGTTATGAAAGAATGTCAATTTTGTATGTCATTTTTGTAAAGCATAAGAAATAAAATATTTAACATGAATTGTTTGTCACTGCAGTAGCTTCTTTCAGAATTTTACAGTTGGTATTAAAGTGCAAGGGGGATTCTGGGGAGAAATGTTTTGTACTACAGGTAGTGGAGGAAAATGCAAAGCATTAGTTTATTCATTGATAAGCTTTATCTTTTAGTGACTTTGTGGGTTTTCTAAAATAAGCCATATTGACAGGTCTTCATTAAGTTAGAAAGTCTCAACAAGATTTTTTTACAGCAAAAAATTGTGTTTCTAATAGACTTGTATTTTCTATTTTTTGTAAGCTGCCACTATGTTCTCTTTCTTTTCCCCTCCAGAAGATCTCTTTGAGAGAGAAGCACAAGCTGCTTTGCTTCTTCCTTAGTGAACTGCTGGCATGTTTGACAAGCGGTGTCAGGTAGGACCCAGTGTCCCCGCAGAGGTGACAGGATTGCTGGTTTGGGTGACAGCAGTGGCATTATTGACCTCACTACTGTGAGACATGAACTGTGATGCTATGTTTTTGCTCTGGAAGTGTCTCTGCCTCATTGTGGGCTCTGTTTCTTCCAGGACAGGGTTCTGTTGTGTCTTTCTATGATGCTGAAGGTCCTGAAGAAGGCCCTAGTTCAGATCATTGACCACGTGAGAAGAGCAGGGACAGATGACACACCCCTGTTTGGACAGGTGACACGTGAGGTGCATTTTCCCAAGTGGACCACTGAATCCTTTAGAGCTCAGTTTTGATCCCAGAGAACCTAAGAGACTCAAGCTAATTTGGAATGATGACACAAGGTTGTTCCTCCTATGGAATGCACAGGCTTTCCCCTGTGCCAGAGCCTGTCTCCTGTCAGATTGCTTGTGGTCTTCCCTGAAGATCCTGAGGCATCTCTGCTGTCATCCTGCCACTCAGATGAGGGTTCATCTCATTGTCTAAACCAAATGTCTGGCTGGATTGATACGTCTTCCCTGATGTATGTAGACTTTACATTGAACTGTATTTTCCCAATTGTCATCTAATGACTTTCAGGATAAACCCCTGTAACAAGCCTGAGACTTTGTTCTAACAGATCAGCAATAACGTTTTTATCCCGGTGCTTTTCTTTGTTCTCCATGGCCAATAGACAGAAATAACCCCCTGCCTTCCCAACCTGGGCAGCTCATGGAGTCACCTGGCAGATTGAGAGCTTGTGGCTTTCCCTGGAGCACAGTCTGCGCATCAGTGTGATGGAGAAGAGGGCAGTGACCTACATCAAGCCTTGTAGCTGTGCAGTCATGGCCATCATGTGCAGGTGATGACGAATAAACAGTGAGGTATCAACAAGCCAAATGGTGAGGGAGAAGAAAAGGTACCAAAGTGGTCTATCTTATGAACCCAGTACACTGACTGCACTTTTGTGGTGTTTCCTGCTGGTATTGGTGTTTGCTCATGAGCTCATGTCATTGTCACCTGATGAATGAGGAAATACAGAGCGGCACATGGAACCATCTTCCAGGGCTGAAATTACCTTGAGATCATCCTGTCCCAGGTATTGGTGGAGATTGCTAACGCTTGTGAGACAGATCTGGTTTGCCTTCAGGATGTGTGGTTCTAATACCTTGGTCAAGAAAGCTGCTGAGTGTCTCTTGGTAACCCTCCTCCTGGCCAAGATGAGACAAGATTTGTCAACACTGATCCTTGTAGTTGTCACTTGTGGTTTCAGGACCACCTGTGTTATCCACTATGGAGTGAAGTGAATATTGCAGTGTGTGAGCAGCTTCTCATAAGGAGCCGTTAGGAACGTGTGGAGGAAGGGGAAAAGGAAGAGAAAGAGCAGGAGCAGGCAGGTAAAGCTTTTAACCAAGACTACTGCAATAAGCACTTTGAAAAACAGTAGAAGTATTTTCTTTACAAACTTATGCTTCAATAGGTTGCAACCCTAGTTATTTACTACTGGGCAGAAAACAGACCAGGTATCTAGAAAAGCAAGTGTTTGAGATAGTAACCGTGAAAGAAGGGAGGTAAAACCATAACGCCAGGTTGAAAGAGCCACTATCTTCATGGGCCAAAAAATAATTAAATTTAGGTAAATTTAAAATACACCATCATCTTTGGACCAATTTTTTCCCAGTAGTAGCTTGTAGCTTCATGGAGAATGGAGCTGCTGGTCTGAATCTGTAGCAGACACACACACAGCCCCTCGTGCCGAGTGAGAGCGAGCCAGGACTACCTGCACCTCACAAGAAATTTATTTCAAATATAGGGAAGTGGAAGCTAAAGACCATAACTTGGAACCGATAAAAAATGAGAATCTCTTAGCTCTTACTGCTTGCTCTCTTAGCCTTTACTGCTACTCACAAAAGTGGTTAATCCAGAGTTCTCATCTTCATATTCAATTATAATAAGACAAATGTGCTTCCAGTCCCTGAGAAGCTTGTAGCTTCATGGAGAATGGAGCTGCTGGTCTGAATCTGTAGCAGACACACACACAGCCCCTCGTGCCGAGTGAGAGCGAGCCAGGACTACCTGCACCTCACAAGAAATTTATTTCAAATATAGGGAAGTGGAAGCTAAAGACCATAACTTGGAACCGATAAAAAATGAGAATCTCTTAGCTCTTACTGCTTGCTCTCTTAGCCTTTACTGCTACTCACAAAAGTGGTTAATCCAGAGTTCTCATCTTCATATTCAATTATAATAAGACAAATGTGCTTCCAGTCCCTGAGAGTAACTGCATAGTTCTGTGATAGTCACATGGAATGTTAAACAATTCAGCATCCACAAATACATTCTTTTGGGGAGGCTTGTTCCATTTATACTCCAGAGTAATCTATTTTCAGAGAGCAAGGGATGATACTCTTGTGTATTGAATGGCTCCAGCTTTCACACGAGCAATGCTGTGAGACCAGGTGTTGGGGAACAGCAGTGATGGTACCTGCAAGAACGTCCCACCTCGGGCAGGCAGTGATAACCCTCTTTGAAGCAACACAGCTCACTCACCAGTTCTGCCAGCCCAGGGGCCACCTACTCTGCAGCTTTATTAAATGTGGAAGTTGTCAGCTGTGTAACTAACTACTCAGCCTTTTAACTTTTTAAGTACAGCTGCTGCAATTCCAACATTTGGTTCCATGGGTCTTCTTCCACCCTGGGGCACTAGAAATGATTGGCATTGCAGAATTATCAAAAATCTATATAAGGCCACCTTATCTCTAGGTATATAGTAAAAGATGCAGCTAAAACAAAAGCTTATTTGAGTATTACTTGCTTACTCTTATCCAGGTGGATACATAATAAACATTTGTTTCTATGTAGCTTAACTGAACACAACTCACTTTCACTACTTTGTGTAATTAGAGCGGCTATTCATCAGTGAGTTCACAAGCAGCATCTAAAGTTTAGCAACTCTGTATTGAGCACGTTCTGATCTCACTGGTAATTAACAGCTCTATAATTGAGCTATTGTTAATAATGATGTAGTTGGAAGTATAGTTATTAAGTATTCTATATTACTTGAAGGAAAATAAGTAGCAATGATTCCACTATCAAATGAAGACACACTTCAAAGTTAAGGGTAATATAAATGAATAATCAAAACAGCTAAGACTATAGGGGTAGTTTAAAGTATAGTTATTAAGTA